CTATCTGCAGACGCACTTCACGGTGCGCACCGCGCCCGAGGGCAAGCGCCGGGGGGACTTCTCCGGCACGCGCCCGGTGCGCTTCATGCCGGGCTCCCCCGGCCGGGTGTACTGCTTCAACAAGTACCCCTTTTCGCGGACGGCGCCCGGGCCGATGGTCCCATTCCCGGGCCTGGTGACCAACCTGTCCATCCGTTTTACCTCCATGGCTGCCGTCGGGCCGTCGTGCATCTTGCTAAATGAGGACAACACTTCGCGGGTGTACATCTCCGGCGAGAGCCTGGTTGCCCTCTTCGACGATGTCTCCCCCCCGCGCATGGACCCCCACATCCTGAGCATCGTGGATGGTTTGTTGCACCTCCGCCGGGCGGCTTCCAACTCGGGGAGCATCATACAAGACACCCTTGGCCTGGATCGCATCTCGATGCTGGCGGCCACCGACCTGGACGCCGATGGCCTGGTGGACGCGGTCATTGTGGCCCCCTCGGATGTCCTCAATCCGCACGGGACCCAGTCGCTCTTCTGGATGTCCAGCGTGCGCCTGGGCACTGGCCAGGCTCCCCCAATGGCCAACACGTCGCTGCTGTACCGGCTGCCGGCCGGCTTCCGCGCCGGGCACATCATCGTGGGGGACTTCGACGGCGACGGCCGTGCCTCGGACGTGGCCGTGGTGTCCGGCACCGGGTCCACCGTCCCGGAGCAGGTGATCCTCCTGCTGACGTCGGACCTGGCGGCCCCGGTGCACCTGCTGCTGGCCGACATGGTCGTTGATGATTTGGCCATGGCCTCGGTGGCCGTGGACCAGCGGCAGCCGAAGATCGCCCGCGCGCCCGGGCTCGCGGCCCCGGGCCATGACAGCCTGCTGGTGGCCCACGGCAGCCGGGTGTGGCTGGTGCCGGGGCCGGTGCGGCCGGTCGGCGGCCGGCCATCGGACCTCGGCCTGCTGGAGGCCCACGGGGCCGGCCTGTTGCCGGACTTCCCCACCCACTCGGACGTCTGGTGGTCGGTGGCCACCGGGGACTTCGACGGGGATGGCCATCTGGACGTGGCCCTGGCCCACGGGTCCATGGGCGGCAAGGTGCTGCTCCTGTCGCAGGTGGCCGCCTCGCCGAACTGCCTGTGCGGCCCGGGCGCCCGCTGCCTCCATGAGGGCTTCTTCGACCAGCCCACCTGCCAGTGTCTGGACCCGAATGCGGACCCGGGCACGGACTTCGCCCCGTGCGAGTTCTGCCGGCCGGGCTTCTTCCGGGCATCCGCCGGTGCGCGATCGTCTTCCTCCGCACACCGCACGCCCCGTCCTTCCTTTTTTTCTTTGGCCCGGCCCAGGCACATCCCACCCACCCGGTGTCCCTTTATTCGCCCGCCCGGGCGCCCGTCCCCGCTGGCGCTTCGGCACCCACTGACCCGGCATCGCAGCCTCCCTCTGCCAGGCGTGCCATGCCTCGTGTGCCTCATGCACCGGCCCGACGGCCGGCGACTGTCGGTCATGCCCGCAGGGCGTGCTCCTGCAGGGAGGCGCTTGCGTGGTGTCGCCCACCGCGCCGGTGACCGTCACGCGCGCGCCGCCCGGCACACAGGCCTTCTACGAGGCCACCCCGGCCGGGGGGTTCCCCATTCCCGGGAGCGGATTCACTTCGGCCCGTGCATTCTGGCTGGCTGCCCCATTCCAACTGGGCGTCGACACGGCGGAGGCCCACATGCGCATCCGGATAAGCTTCATGACCAACCCCTCGCCGGAGGGCGTGAGCTTCTTCAGCATGTGGTCGTCCACCGGGATGGTGGCCTTCCAGGATACCCCTCTGCAAGGGGGCCTGAAGGCGGTGGACCATGTCATGACCAACCTCCACTCGCAGCCGCTGGCCAAGTACAATCAAAAGATCCCGCTGGTTCTGAATGGCGCCAATGCGATGACCTGCGTCCGGAGCAATCTGGCCGGGCTGTGCCAGCGGATCCAACAAAATGACGGGATGAGTGTCGATCATTTGACGGTGGGCCGTTTGGTCGGCGAGCCCGGGCCGGATGCCGTCATGCGCGTGTACAATGGCCCGAGCTTCGGCAACCGGCAAATCAGCAACTCCACCTTCACCGCGGTGCACTGGGCCGCGGTGGACAATGACTTCGGCATCGAGACGATGGTCCTGCTGAATGACGTGACCCCGGGCGGCTGGAGCCCCGGCCAGCCGAATGCCCGGTGCGAGCTGCTGTGGTTCCCCTTCCAGGCATTCGACGTGGATCCGGTGGGTGCCTTGCCGGCGGAGGTTCTGCTGGCGGATGTCCCCTGTGGCCGGCTGATTCCGGTGCTGTCGGGCCCGGGGGCCGGGCCGCGCCCGGGTTTCCTGCTGGTGCCTTTCATGCCGGATCCCAGCACCGGGGCAGTGGTGCTGCTCCTGCGGAATGTGGCCACCGGGGCGCGCTTCCGGCCGGACTTCCCGGCCCCGGTGCCCATCCTCACGGCCGGGGACCTGGGCTACACGACCAGCACGCCGGGGCTTGGGCGGCTGGAGGCCGTGGCCGACCCGCTGGTCATGGCCCCCGGCCGGGCGCGGCTCTTCCTGCGGACCGGCATCTGGTTGCACCTGGTGGATGTGCGCTTCGATGAGGAGTCGGTCCTGGGCGATGGTCGGCCCGGTCATGGGGTGGTTGTCACCCACCAGCCGGCGGTTCCGCGGCATTCCTTCGACCGCTTTGCCGGCGGCCCGGTGACCATGGTGGCGGTGAATGTCCAGGAGACCGGCCACTCGGCCCTGGCGCTCTTCAGCCACCTTACCCACTCGGGGGCGGTCTTCCGCCAGGGTGGCGCGGAGAATGGCTGCGGCTGCGGGCTCCTAGGGCGCTGCGTGTGGCAGGACAACTGGCTCGAGGGGTCCATCTGCCGGCTGGGCTTCCCGGGCCCGGGGGCGGCCACGGCCGACAGCCAGCCCGAATGCGTGCCCCAAGCCACCGGCCTCCTGGTGCGGGATCTGTGTCAGTGCCTGGATGGGAGCCCGGTCGATGAGAACCACCCCTCCGGGGATCTGTGCGGCGGGTGTGGCCCGGGCTCCGGCGGGTCGGATCCGCCGATCCAAGTGACCGGCCTGGCGGCCGAGCGGGCCGAGCGGGCCGGTCGGCCGCCAGGCCACCCGAGCCAGCCGGAGCGCCGGGTAGCCGCCCCGGACGCTGGGCCGTCGCCCGACTGGCCCGGGCCAGCCGCCCGGTCCCAGTCGGCCACCTGTGCCGCCTGCTCGGTGGAGGGTTGCCTGGTGTGCCAGGGTGTCCAGTGCATGGAGTGCCACTTGGGGCTGGTGCTGACGGAGTCCGGCCGGTGTGCTGGCCGGTGCGATGTGGCCGATGCGCCGGTTGTGGACCGGCGCAAGTGCGACGCGCGCGGCCCGGCGGACACATGGATCCCGGCGCAGCATGTCCCCCTGCACCCGGCGTGGGCCGGCATGGAGGCCCTGCAAATATCGCGGCTGCGAGTGGCCCACTCGTCCGAGGGCGATGCGCTGCCGCTGCTGTCTTCGGCCAACTTCCTGCACCTGGGCTACACCCGGGCGGAGGACGGCCAGCGGGAGCACTGGATGGTGTCGGTGGGGCAGCTGCTGCAGGATGGTCGGCCGGCCGAGCCGCGTGCTGTGCGGCCCTCCGAGGCTCTGGCCTTCATGCGCATCTATTGCGACGGCGCCGCCGCCGGTGGGAGCCAGGCTGCCGGGGTGGCCGCCGTCGGCTTGGCGGCAGCCTCGCGCACACGGGCCACCGGTCTCCCGCCGGGCCGCCCCCTGTTGTTGCCCTGGGGCCGCCCCTCCGACCGGCCTGCCATCGGGCATTCGGCCGGCCGGTCGACCGTGCAGGCTGGCGCCACGGCCACCGGCGCCGGTCGCCCGGTCACCTGGGACACCGTGCCGGTGGAGCATATTTCGGCCTTCTCGCAGGCCGTGAATCTGCCCTGGCTCGGTGGGCTGACGGCCGAGCCGCCAGCCGGCGAGGCCATCCGGCCTCCCGGCACGGGGTCCTTCCCGCCGGGGCTGGCCAAGCAGGCCGTCAGCCATGTGTCCGGCGTCACCCCCTTCCTGCTGGCCGTGGAGGCCGGGCCGCCATCGGCCCTCGGGGCAACACATCCTGTGTCAGTTTGCACGATCACCGGCCAGCCGATTGGCGCCCAGTCGCACATTCTGGTCTCCCGACACTCGGGGCTCGACCTGTCGGATGCGCCGGTGGACATGATGAGCACCTGCCTCGTGGCCACCCTGGCGATGCCCTACCCGGCGGAGGAGGTCTTCCTGGAGCCGGCGGCCCTGGCCGCGGGGCTCGGCCTCCTGGCCATGGGATTTGTGCGCGTGCCGCCGGCCGCACTGCCGGGCACCCGGCAGGACATCCACCTGCTAATGGTCGAGGGCATGCCCTTGCTGGACAGGAGCCCGCTGCAGGGGTGTGAATACGTGCTGGTCGAGGCGTCACCCCGGGGCCCGGGCTCGTTGCCGCATTACCAACAGACCTCCAATATGGCCAACCTAACGGGCATGGGGCAGATGCTGCAGCTGGCATCCATACGGGACCTGATCCCCTGGCATCCGGTCGAGCAGCCGGGGCTTCTCTGGATGCAGGACGCCAAGTCGTGCATCTGGCCATTGGACCCGGGCGATCGGCACATCACCAACGTCGTCCTGTCCTTGTCGCTGGTCGATTTCGCGAGTCAGGCCGTCCTCCTCCGGGCCGATGGGCTGCCGGACAGCATTGTCCTGGTGGACCTGGAGTGCATCCGGCTGAATGTGTGCCAGCAGTTTTCGGACCCCTCGGCCGGCAGCGGCAGCGGCAGCGCCAGGACCACCGACGCCGCGGGCCCCGGCGGCTCTGTCACCGGGCAAGGCAGCGACAGCAGCCACGGCAGCCACGGCAGCGCGACTCGCAATGGCTATGGCTGCCCGATGAGCGTGATGGAGAGCGACCCCATCACCGGCGACGTGCAGCTGCAGACGCATGACGTCGATGCCGATGGGCTGATGGATTATGTCCTGGTCCATCGGGACACCGGCCGGGTGGTGTTCTTCCTGGCCCAGATCGGCGCCCGGGGGGCCTTCCGTCGGGTGGTCGTCCTCCCGGGCCGGATGGCGGCCGCCACCGGTGGCAGCCTCCCCCCGCCGCCGGACATCCTGGTGGCTGATGTCGACCAGGATGGCCACATGGACGTGGTGGTGGTGGACCGGTCGGCCGACGGCCGCGAGGCCAGCCTCACGGTGTACGGCCGGGCCGACCAGACCGAGGCCTGGTGCCCGCCCGGGGTGGAGTTCGACCCGGTGGCCGGTCGGTGCGTCTGCCCCGGGGCCGGGCGCTTCATCAACCCGGCGACCGGCAAGTGCCAGTGCGTTGAGCACGCGGTGCCGGCCGGGCCGGGCGCCGTGGACTGCATTTGCCCGGCCGGCATGCAGGCCGCCCTGTCGGCGTGCGTCTGCCAGCCGGGGCTGCTCCCGGTCGCCGATGAGGCCACCAGCAGGGCCATCTCGCCGCCCCGGTGCGAGGCCTGCCATGGCAGCTGTGCCACCTGCTCGGCCACCCGGCCGGGGCTGTGCGCCGGCTGCCCGGCCGGGCGCCTGCTCCAGGCCGGCGCCTGCGTGGCCGCCTGCAGCCCGGGCTTCGGGCCCTCGGCCGACGGGCGCCGGTGCGAGGCGTGTGCGGCCTCCTGCACCG